CCTCTGCCTTTTCTCGTCCGTTGCATCTGTCTCGTTCATTCGTCTTATTTTCTAACCGGTTTCCACAATAGGTTATTATTTGGCTTCCGTATGACGTATCCTCATCATTGATCCATGTGCTCGATACTATCACCAAGCACCACCAAAAAACTCCGTTCCCTCTGATGGTATGTAGATACGATCTATTCCACTCTCATATTCTATGCCTGAACCTTTAGATAATAATATCTGAATAATTGTGCATTTCCATTTCTAGCCTACCCACTATTCCTAATTTTGCTGTGTTTAGAATCTCATATCTAAATGCCTTAATTGGTGACGCTTTTTTCCAACGGATCCCCATAACCTACAAAACTTAATTCACGTTGAGATTCATACAATACCATGCCGATGGCATATTCCCCGCGTCCCGTTTCTCCAAATACACTGGCAGGCCAATCTCATGGGACGGGTGGAGCCCAACCGTACATGATGACATCCAACGCTCGAAACCGTTCGAGATCACCCCCCTCCAACCCTCAACCCGCCTCGAAGCGTGATAAAAGACGAAGTGCCCTGCAAGATAGGGTTCACGATCTCGCCGAAACATTTAGCAACGAGCGCGATTACTATTTCCGCAAACAAGTCCACGATCTACAAAATGAAATGGCCCTAATTTCCAACTCCCAACTATATGACACGGAACCGTTAAGCGACTCGCCGGAAATGATCTCGGAACTTGTTGAGAAACTCTCCGCTGCTGGACATCTGGTAGCTGAAACAATTCCATCGGGAAAATGGTATGCCAACTTTGTACAGGAAATGAATCAAATGAAGGAAGAGCGAGATCTAGAACTCGCCGTACTTATGGTAAGCGAATGCATCCTACTCACTTTCGCTCTCACACCTCTCTGTGCTCTGCTCTCCAGAGGAAACCATATGTCCAATGTACTGACGAGCATTCCATAGAATCGCCATCGTGACCAATTTTCAAGAATTAAGCGGGAACACGACTTCAAAATCCAATTCGCACACCAGGAATGCGCCAAACTAGGGGAGACCATCAGGGAGCGATTGGTTATGTCAATTTCACAGAAGAAAAATAGGCTAATGAAGGAGAAGGAACAACTTGACCTTGCTGATACCAACGCCCTCCTCTTGCATCCAAATCAATTTTCTATTGCCAACCCTTCAAGTCCCGGGGGCCTGCAAAGTAACCGCAAAACCCGTCACACACGCCACAGAGTTGATATGGACGACATGGGCAATGGAATTGGATCAGAAGCAACCAATAAACGGAAACGGAAGGGCCCAATGGACGACGATTTCGGTTCCCCCGCGCGCGACGGTGGCATGTCAACGCCTGCAGACCGAACAAAGGCGCGGATGACACAGCACCAAAATGCCGCCAGCTATCACATATCCTCCCTGTTCACCGAAAAAGAACTGGCAATGCACAGCAACAGCGCCCACGTAGCCGCCCTTCACTTCCTCGCCGCCTCCAAAAGAGCAAAACAAACATCAACCCCAGGCACAAACGGACAGAACGCTGCCGATGGCGATGACCTAGCTGGCTCTGGCGGCGACGGAGGCAGCGGCCAGGAAGACACCAGTGCGGCACCGGAGATGGAACGAACAGCCAGCCAGGGCTACCACGCCACGCGCTCTACACGCAACACAGGCACGTCGGGGCTAACGCTACTAGGCGAACTAGCTGACAAGACAGCCACAAGACCCAACCTGCCGTATTTCATCCTCGGAAACTACCACGCGCGGCCCAATGGGTCCGGGTCGGCGCCGCCGCCACCGCCACTCATGCCCGATGAGATCGAGGATGATCTCGCCCGTATCGAGAGACTTGCCAGCAAACCGCGCGGCTGGATCGACACGCGTCTTGTGAACGAGCTTGTGGACGCGACGCACGATCACGAGCATGAGCATGGGGAGATGATAGATGGACTCTTCCTGGAAAGTTCAGAGAGGTTTGGCTCGTTGCATCCGGACTTCCCTGCACAGATGGATATGCATTTGGTTCGACTGTATCCGCGTAAAGAATCCTGAAAAAAGAGATAGAGAAGAAAGGAGGGGGGAAAAAATAAATAAAACAAAATAAAAACAAAACAAGAAACATGGAATTACCCACTCCGCATCAAATTAATTAGCCAGTCGGCCGCTCGTTGACTTTTTGGTGCAGGTTTTATCTTTTCAAAGTCTTAATTTTTTGTGCAAGCGTCGGGCAGCTGGCGATTACGCGTAACTGGAACCTCGGCTTGGCGTTGTAGTACGAGACAGGGAGGGACCTACTTGTCCATACAACACACAAGGAGAAGAAGGGGATATGATCTGTCTTACTCTTTGTTCTTCATTCCTTTGTTATTTATCATTGTTTCGTCACCAACCTCCTTTTTTGTAGAACCTTGTATCTCTTCGGTCTCGTACCATTTTGGAGGAGGTCCACTGCCGGACGTCAAGTGTCCTTCGTG